CAAAGATCTTGATTTAATGTAAGATACTGTATGTTTACTTTAGCATTTTTCCTTAAAATCGAATATTTTGCTGACTTTTCACAAGTACCTCTACAGCCCCTCCAACCCCGGAATATTTTTTTACATCAATCTTACCAATCACTAATGCGAGTTTTTTTTCCAGTGTTTTATTTCCAGAAGAAATGGTTTTTTTGTGTAGAACAAGCTTTGTCTATCGCCTACGGTGGAGTGTGATTTTAGCGCTTTGTTCGAATATGCTACTAATAAACCCGACAAGTAGCAGTGCCGCAAATCGAAAACTTTGAGGCGAAATTTCGCATTTGATTAGTCAGCATAGCAGAGCCTACCTCTGGGGAGTAGGTGTGAATTTCTTCTCTCGTCTCCTCATGCGTTCTGATTTGCTAAATTAGAGAATATACACTGAGTTGGGCTATATTTTTCTTCACTATTTCATGATAAAATATAAATTTTTTCCCCCGCTTCGGAATTTTTTTCTGAATTTGAAACTATTTAATGCTTCGTTTTGGTGCGGATTTTATCGACTTTTGGAACAAACACTACCTTTTCAGTATTTTGGTGTCGACTGCATTTTTACGACGATTTCGTTAGATATAGTGTTGATAGTGAGGTGATGCTTTCTGCGAAAAATTGGGCCTTTATTTTACACTTATTGATAATGAAATTCGAGGAGAATCTGTGGAAACGAAGGCAAATTCGTACAGTTGTGGAATTTCCGGAACTTATCCATCCAGAGGTAACTAGATCTCCTGGAAATGAGCCAATGAGGTGAGCGCAAAGTGAGGTAGATCTCTCTGATGTTAGACTATGAAGAATACTGAAGTTGGTGATGTCAAAATAAGTCGAAAATATTAAATCGACCCAGAATTTTCCGAAATTTTATCCAAGCTTATTGCAAAAGATAGCTTCTAAGTTCACCAAACTACAAGCAGTTGCGCTAATACTTCAATGGTGTCCATTGTTTACGTAAAAAAATTCACCTTGACTGAATATGATAGTCTCATCTAGCTCAAAGCAATATCTCTCCTCTTCATCGTATTTGCAGCAGCAATAACTGCCTGTCTGATTCTAAGAAGCCCCAAATCCTCCACCAAAGTCGCTATTCAGGTGTCATTTGATCGTCACTTTTAAGCATTTAGGAATGCCCATAGGTTTAACATAAGCAATCTCCCTATTTATTGGCACACTAAGTGATTTTTTGGTTCAAGATGACTAGCGACTGATGCATACCGTTGGTCCACACATTTCTTCAGAGAAGAATCTGGACTCGGTTCGCTGGAAAGCAAAATTGTTTAAGCACTAGCTCAACACCGAGGTGCCAAATGCTTAAGTAGCATTTATCATTCAAGTACTGCTACTTTTAATGAAAATTGAAGTAAATTTTGGCAAGAGGGAACTTACGCGTGAGATACGGGTCATTGGTCCGTGCAGTTGTTCCATTTTTCAAAAATTCTAACCAAAGAGTGGGCGCCTGAATTTCCCTTCTTATGGCATGATCAAATTCTACTCATAGACATTAAGTAGTATTCCAATAAATTTCTTATCTCGATAGCCAGATTTAGATGCTCAATAAATAAAGTTTTTTGAAAAGAAGCATGCTCATGTTAATCTTTTTAACGAAAATATTTGAATATACTTGTAGGTAAAATAAATAATTAACTTTAAACTGCTTATTCCTTCGGAGGACATTTAAACCAGTTCTAAATACTCCTTTTAAATAGAAAACCTTAAACTGGGAACGAATCGCACGGCCCTTAAAATTTATTTCTGCTAAGTGTACTTTTCAGGACAGAAAAGTGCTAATTTCTAAAGACTAAAAAGGATGAAAAGGGCGGAAAAGTGCAAATTTTGCACTATTAATTAATTTATTTACATATGGGGTTAGTTTCGCGTAAATTCATAGGAGAAAAAAAGATACTAACCGACATGACGGCGGGAAATGTGTTTCAGCACGAACACGTGATAATGTGGTTTCAACGAGGTGTCAACTGTGGCGATCGATGACTAACTCGTGTCAGTCATGTGTCATTGTTTTTGAACTTGAGAAGGAGGAGTGGCGAGTCCCGCTGCCTCTTGTTGACCTTCTACCCGTGAAATGCCACACTTCTGCTGACGCAACTTGATTTGTTCTACTTGTAGCAAGATGTAGTTCAGTTGGGTTGATGAAGCAGCTACTGAAACCACTTTTGCCACCAAGAATGTCTCGTTTACAATAGAATTTTTTCCATTACTGACGAGGAGGGCTTGCCTTTCATTGCTAAACCTTCGTAGACATTTCTGAACTAAACAATGTCTCATCAATCCTTTTTGTCAAAATGCATTTGGAAAAGAATTCAACCTTACTGTTGTGATTGAAGGAAGACTCTGAGGCGAATTATTATTAAGGAATGATGTATCTCTGGAAGATTTGTCCAATTCTTTTTTTATGATTTCATCAGTCCATCTCAGGCTTACTCACCCGTTTATCTCAGGCCAGTCAACTCATGTTTATCCTGGAGTAACCTGTCCGCCTTTTATCCTTGCCATTTTTTTATATTCACCTCTCCTGGAGTAAATCATCTCAGCCCTTATCCATCCATCCACGCACTAACGTGGAGAGACGTACCTATCACGTTTTTTTCATTGTGGGTACTTTCAACTTCTCCCAACTTGCCCACACCAACCATCAGCTTGGAGGTGGGGAGAGAGGTTCCGCCGTCCACGTGATGCATGACTAAACAGTTTGGGGTCAAGACTAGATTAAAACCGCCTGTCAAAAGGGGACTTTGCAGTTAGACCACCAATTACTAAACCCTTTTCAAACTGCCCCTTGTTGATTGGGAAGATAATACCAGGATCTTCTTTTACGGTGATAGAAAAGGTAAAAAATTTAAAATATGAGGTTAAAATAGTCATTGAGTTCTAGACGAACCGAGAAACATGAAGATTACCAATGGAACTGGTTTTGTGTATGATAATGAGTCACGGTAAATAAAAAATTTGCTCGTTTTTTGGGAGTAAAGCTCTACACATTACAATCCTCTGTGGACATAGAGTTTTCCCAACTATTTCATTCTTCCTTTCTGCCCTCATGAAGGTTTAGTGGCGATCCGACCCTCTCTGGTTGTTCTTTTTTTTTAACTAAGTTTGACTGGAAGATATTTATCAAGTTTTCTGTATGTCGTAACAGAACAGGCACATGACCGAGAGAGATGCACCACGTTCAGAACGTTCCTTTGATCTTGGCAACAGTGGAGAATCATGGTTTTTTGCTATTAACATGTCAATGCAAGATTAAGTTGTCCACAGCAATACCCAGTAACGTTTCAAGTAGTGATGAAACAACTTGTTTGCGCCTATATCAATTGGGAATGAAACGTCGTGGTCAAATGCTAAGTAGGCGTTTCCCACTCATATACACTGTCTATTTTCTGACGGCCAATTGGTTGCTGTAGAGATCCACTCGATGATGAGCACAGCGAGCTTTTGTGGAGACAGCTAGGGCTAGTAAACTAGTTAGAAAAGGTTCTATTTTTATAAGTGAAGGCAAGACTTCACTTCTGACATTGGTGAACTTAACCATGGGCGTTTTAATGTTTCAAGATGGAAGGAGAAGGGATCCTCGTTAGCCATTTTCGCCTAGTATTTCGCAACACGATGACTATCACCCATTTGTAGCATTAGAGGATAACATTACATGGGCATGCAAAATAGGGTAGGCAGTCGAGAAATAGAAGAGAGATGGATACAGAGTTCTGCCTTATCTAGGTTATTACACCTATCGTAAACCGAGCTCCTGTATCTTATTGACTGACTTTGGCCATTGACTCCCATTGGCATGTTTCTAAACCAAACACTAGCTCCACAAGTCAAAGTAGTGGAACGTTTTCGGCAGCCTAATGAAAGATTTTGAGCATTTAAATTGTTCAAAAGTACCTTGAGACAATCTTAGAACTGTGGGACATTTCTGTGGTTGTGCTCTCCACTTTTATGGCGGTATAGTTGAATAAATTGAAAGTAGTTGTGCCGGTGAGTCTAACGTACAACTCATCGCCTGTGTTTAGCACCAAAAAACATCAAAATATTCTGCAATTCATTCTTAGTTTGATTAGTAACATTCGATTTTGGTTAAATTAATTCATGAGACTGTTCATGATAAGGCGTGTACCTTAACTGGTCGGATTGTGCAGCCCCTTAATTTTATTGTTCAGCAATATTTTCCCAGACCTCTATTGGTTGGTTAATAAACCAATCAGGTTGTAGCTTTACTTTATTATGGCATACCGACTACATTTACATCAATGTTTTATTAAAATAATCGAGATCTTTTACTAAACCTTTTAATTCGGACTTGACTGCCTATCTTCTTGCAGATGATTCTGTGCTTTTCGATAAAATTTAGTTCGTTTTTCTGTATCAAGTTACCTATAATTGGGCAGAAGGTCAAAATATGGGTTACCTGGGCTTCATCAAGCTTTAAATTTTGTTTTGAATACTTCTATTCCATATCCGTATCAACAATTTGCAGGATGGACAATTGATTTAATTATACGAAATCGGGATTTATTTGGCTATTTCTTGATTTAGTGGTCTCTCAGATCATTTTCTATTTACTTTTTAAAGATTTTCACAGAAATATTAAAGACTCTTTCGTAGTACAGCGCCTCGGGGTGTCTTCAAGGCCATAGAATGGAATGCCAATCCGAACGATTGATTTGCTGCTAGATAGAAGAAGGGTTGGGAGATCATTGGCTTTGGAGAGGGAGGAAAGATACTGCCACTATGGCAATGGAAGTTTGGCACAATGAATGGCTTACATAGTTGAACGAACACTTAAAATACATCGTTTTGACACAATAAACTTGAACGGCGACCCAATGAACTGACGTAACGCTAGCAGTTCATAAGTTTAGAAGGTTCAAATATTTGACACCAATCCAAAAAACGATGCAGTCAATAGAAATGCACAATGGCGAAACGGCACTTAAAACTAAAGACGTGCTTTTCGCCCAAAATTTTCATCATTAAAATGTGGAAAACAAATAGAGAAAATAGTTTATTTGTTGATTTAAAGTTTTCCATTTCTGTTCGTTAGGGAACTTTTGGAGAATCTCAATGTTTATTCCATTAACCAATCACATTTCTTCTTCCACAAAAAAACTAAGAACCACTTTCTTCCGAAGCAATTCACAAACAATTTCAATTTTCTCAAATTCTAAGGCAAATTAACAGATATGTGTACCAGTTATGAAGAAGAAGAAGAAATAAGGAGATCCTTTGAAAATGTTTTATCTGTTAATATATCTAGCATGACGATCCAGAATCCCTTTCCAAATAGACAGTTTTACCTCGGAAAGCAAACGACCCCCCTCTAAACAAATGCCTTTCTATTTCAATTTTGTGCTTAAGCTGTCTTTTTCACATTTCTCCTCCATCCACCAGCGTAACTCCTCTCGCAGGCAAGATTTACGAATTGAGGTTTGAGTTATCTTCCAAAAATTAAACTTTTTTCCTACTGATTCACTTGGTCCGGGTTCTTCTTACCCGCTTTCGGGTTGTATCACCAGATCAGATTTCATCGGGCAATTCATAGTGGACAATCGCTCATGCGATGCACCACACATACACACCCATCAAGCATAGCCTTCTGGGGATGAACAGAGAACCCTCCTGTAGGTGATGCATATCCAAGTGGTTAATTACTAGGTTCATACTGCTCAAAACATTTCCGGTGGTACTGTCCCCAAATGGGAAACGATGAACTCCACGCTAAACCTCTGCAACCTTAGACCTGAGTCAGCCTCGGTTGGTATAGCATACAAGTTCAAATCATTTTCATCAGGTTCTATCAGTACTCGAAGTTGGTCGTGTCATATCAGTAAGCATTTGCACCTACTTTACACCGCAAGGCATTGCGGATAATTCTACCAAAAAATGAGCAATTCCTGGATACCTAGGTTGTTAATTATTACGGATCGGTAACTTATTCAAAGATGTCTAATTCGTACATCTGCAATTCCCTTTCCTAGGTTGGATTTCATAAGTTCCATAAATATTCTAGCGAAACCAAGAGCTGAATTCACAAGTTCTTAACTTTAAAATTTGTTGACCTCATATATTTCAACCTGCCTTTGGCTTTGCTGTAGATGGATCGCGCAAGTTTACTGGTTGGTTAGCATAGAGAGTCTAATCGGTTTGATTCAATACTGAACCACTTTAATGGCAATCTGTGATATCACGAAATAAGGAAATTCTCATCCTTGATATCCTGAATACTTGTTCACTAACCTCAGACAAAATTTTGCATTGTTTACGAATTTCATTGTTACATTAGTTGAGGATTCTTGACCCCGCCCCATTCAATCGTTGCAACAATAATCAGAACATTGGTATAATCATGGAAAACGGGTGGCTTTCAGGATTCTATTTCTTCCATTCAATCCACCTCTTGACTTATCCCCCCACATCTATAAGTCCTAAACAGTCGATGCCCCTCCTGCGCGATCACCTCCTTTCCCTGCTTCCTCTTCCAAATGGACATTGAAGAAACGGCCTCTAGAATCAGCCGATCCAACAGCACATCAGTCCGTTTAGATGGGATTGATATCTCAGCTTCTAGCATTTCTTGGTCCGCCTTACGTCTAATTCCATAGTCTGAAGCGCTGGCAAATTCTTCCCCTTCCGTCGTGTCTGGGCATCCACCGGTCTCTGTGGCGGTTTTCTTGTTGTGAAGAATGGTCGGCGATGATTGAACAGATTTTTCGGTCACCACTACATCTCTGGCCGGACTCAAGTTCTCCAAACTCTTGATAGAAAGTGACCGTGCTTCTTGCTCGACTCCTTCTATTACAGTAGAATTTTCTGTAGCCTGGAATTCAGTTTCAATCTTCCAGCGTGATGGTGGCTGGAGCTTGCCGTCATCCTCACCTTCGGATGCCTTAGTGACTTCTTTCTCCTCCTTCCCCTCCTCTTCGTGCACGCATTTTTTATCACCTGTGGAACCCTCCATTTCCTCGTTTTCTGATCACGTGAATGTGGAACACGCTTCATCGATCTTGGAATTGTAGAAGTGGTTGGTTTACCAAAGAAGGAATTGTTTTACACGTAATTTTATTTCTGAACAGTAGTTAAATTCATTCTTTAAGTCTCTTACATGAAAGCCTTCCCCATCCGTTATGCCGGAAAGTGCATGAATAATTTTGCCTATTGTAGAAACTAAGGTAGGTGAATTTCGATGTGTTCTTCGTAATTATTCCACTTTATCATGAAAATATCACATTCATCAGTTAAATTTTTAACAACATCTACCGTAGTGTTTGGTTTTACCAAAATTCAAAGAGAAGTTATTCTACATTCACATAAATCTGAAACAAAAAAAAAACGTGTTTGGAATTGCCAGAACTTCCAGGCGCATCTCGATATCGCGGGCCTTGGATGACTTTTTGGGCTTAAGCAAATCACCGTGGTCTTGAGGTGACCTTATGCCTTGCCTGGGACACTAGTACCAATTTTTCGTGCCAGGGTCACCAAAAGAAAGGGTTCTTAACTAAAAATTTTGCGTAGGAAAGAAATATTCAATTTATTCGAATGAAAAACTGAGGTGAAGTAGTTGGCGTAACAAGAAATGGGTGTGTGGAAATAGGTGGAACAAAACTTTGACGAAGTGAATGAAAGCAAAGCTGAAAGAAACTCGAGGACGGTAAACGAGTTGATGACTCTGTGGACTGGCTCCTTGAGTTGAATCTGCTGCAAAAAAATGAGGAAGAAATGTGCATTTGTTTATAATTTTGCATGTTTTTTTTCAGCATAAAGCAGACAAAACTGGATTGGTTCTTCGGTGTTGAAAGTGATTAAGTGACAAGTGGTGACCGATGTAAACCCCTTCATTCTACTTCATTGACAAGCTTAAAGCTCATCAATGAATTATCCACTACTGAAAAGGCTTATATGAGGTGGATTTTTGGGGAGACTGAGTATTCACGCCCGATGCTTCCCACCTAAGGTGTCCGCTTACGATTTCTGAACAAACACGCCTACCGGGTAAACATAGACACCTTCCATTCATAGAAAGATGATTTGCAGTTGCTCCTTTTACACTGTCGTAGCATATGCTGACAGCAGGGTTCACTGACGTCGCCCTTTTGAGGAGCACAAAAAGCTCCCGCTCCTGTGCCGAAGGTGTTTCAATAGGTAAATGTGCTGTTCCAAAGTTGGAGAGAATACTTACCTGAAGCCAATTTGAATTTTCACCGAAATTCACAACAGGGTTTCCGATTTCGTTCTTCATCTGATCTTCGAATGCGTTCAACGAAAGATGCACCTGAAAGGGTGTAATTTGATTGGTTTAAAAAAAACGGAGATAACTTGACATCCGTAGAAGAAAAATGTAGTCTGGCAAATGTCCACGCTAAAAGCTCTCTATTAGAGGTTGTTGGTTACGCTAATTTAGCATTAGCAGGTTCAAATGTTGGTTTTTTGCAAAAAAAATAAAGAACAAGGTACTACCTCGCGATTGGATTGAGCTTATGCCACTCAGGCGGCTCTTTTTTGAGTGGATCCTGAAAAAAATTGAGCGAAAGGTTGTTTAAAATGATTCTCTTCTCTTTTAAAACAACGTAGTTAGGTAGAAGTCCAAAATGTGGGAAAAAATCACCCTTTTTAAAAAGAAAATTACTTTTGCATGAGGAAGTGTTTGGCGTTGCGTCTGGTGATGTCTTCTAGGAGCAACAAAAAATAGGTTTGTCCAGGTTTTTTGGGGGGGGCGGGGGTGAGCAAAAGCTGGAAAGTTACCTCGGGAGTTCGTTTCTTCTGCCGAAATTTCCGAAAGAATGGACTTGTAGATTGCTAAATGAAACAGGCAGAAGCAAATTTATTTACATTCTCTCTTTAATTCCCCCCCTTTCCCTACCCCAAGGAAGGGCATCACTGACCTTTGTCTCCCGTTTCTGGCATGAGTCGGTGAGAGTTTTCTAAAATGGCACCAGAAGGCACCCCTTTTTATCACTTCAATCATTAAGGCACTTTTAAGACGCCTTTTTTGGGGTTAAAAGGTGAGCAAACAAAACGTCGTGACAAGCCAAACGCCAAGTTACCTCCGAGTTGCGGGTTCGATGTCGACTTTTAACCAAAAATGGGGACGTCTTTTGCTGAAGGTTTAAAAGGGGAAATGTCATTTACACGCCTTATTTTTGACTTTAAATGCCACCCGATTTCTACCACCAACATTTGAATCGTATTGGACACAGTTGCTCTGTGGCTTTCCCCTGCGAGATTTCTGGAAGGTGAAAATAAAAGGGTAAAATTTACTTGCATTTTTAGTTAGAAAAAATCGCCTCAACACTCATTTGGCAACTTACCGCTGATGCGGCAGCTTGTTTGGCAGAGCAGCACCGAGGTTGCTAAATTATAAAAGGCCAAATAAAATCTCCTTTTCCACAAAAATATTCCCACATTTTATTAGAGCAACACTTCCAACAGTCAGGTGAAGTAAGTTGGACATTCTCAAGTTACTACGATTCGGACGGAGCGCTTCACTCAGGCATGCAATAGAAAAGGTTGTTTTTTTTTCTTCAAACAAATTTGATTGTTTAATTTTAATTTGGATTAACTTCAACAAAGAACGACAAAAAGTGCTTACGTCAGGAGAACGAGCTCGATGAATGCAGGTTTCATTTGTTGAACACGGTCGTTTCTAAAAGTAGCCAATGCTTAGTAGTAGTAAGTGGTTTTGATGGCGAAGGACAGAGTAATTTGCTTCGTCTTCCACCACTGTGGAGTGGAATTACCTCGGGAGAACGATTTCTTTGCTGATGGCACTTGCACTTTGAACACTCCTGTTTCTACAATGCAAAAGTTTCCTTTTTTAAAAAGCAAACTTATTATTGGACCCAAAATATGGGGTCAGAACTCCTCAACCCTCCTCCTGCATGCGGCTAAGAATTTAGGAGGGCAGAAACGTACCTCCATTGTCGGAGGCCGGTGGCATTTTTTATGGCCACATTGAGAGGAGCGTATCTACTTAAAAAAGGCACGTGTTTAGTGAATCTTGACACGACTTTAGGACTGGTGTTGTTCAAAGGTAGTGAATTTTGCATTACCTCCGTGGAACGCATTTGGTTTTGAGGAGTGCGGCGACACGGATCCGGTTGTCGCTGAGAGAGAGATAGTAATCATCAAAAAGTGATTGAAAATGTACTTACCAGACCGGTGCGAGATCTTTCGTTTCTGACCGGCTTAAAAAGTATGAAATTTTGTATAAGTCATTGCTTAAGGAGGAGTTTTATCAAAAAATTTGGGTCAATTACTTCTTGTGGACGAATTTGACAATTGCGCTTAGAGGCGTAGAAGTAACATGGACATTGCTAAAAGAAGAATTTCCGAAAAAAATTGTTTGGAATAGAAATAATGTCTTTTGTTCCGCCCAGCCGCCATAATGTGCATTTACCTCGGGAGATACCTGACTCGAGGAGCTTCCTTGACACGCTTCATTCGATGGTTTCTAAAAGGATTATAATGCCATCCAGATCTGATGTGCGTAGCTTGGAGCACGTAACCAATCCCCTCCCTCCACTAACAAAATCAAAACTGCCCCATTGGAATCCGCTTGAATAAAACTACTGAAAAGATGTTGAGCTACTGAAAAATCTAACCGCTCTCCGCTTTTGGGTCGTTCTGCGGTACCTGTCACGCTCAAACCTTGCCTTGCGACCCTTCTTTTTTGATTCATAATAGGGGATTTAATTTTAATTTAAATACACAAGTAGAAGACCCAGAAGTTGTCTTTTTCACGTCCAGCTCTCGAACTCGCGCTTCTCTTGATCGGGCGAGGGTCAATCCAAATACTATTAAATGCGCGAACATTAGACCACTTTGAGATTTAAGTAGTCAACCGGAAAAACCGACCACTGCCCAGCTTATTCAGACCTATCGGTAATAAAAATCTCCATATTGAAGTCCTTGTCAATTTAATCATTCTGTTTAGGGTAGCCGACAGGACCGGTGCGCATACTTACAAGGGCGTGCCATCTATAACCTACGTTTTCATAACTTTTTTACTTATTCATCAGTATTAAGGTGAGATATTTGCATATTGTGCAAGATGCGGCATTTTTATCTAGCATGAAGGTTGAAAATGGCATAATATTGCTTAAAAGTTTAGTAGAAGTTTCTTAATGGAAAGGTGTTGTGACATACTACTTAAACGATTAAGTACGATGTGTAGTCTTCTGTCAAATGCACGGTATTTACGAGTGCTTTTTCAATCTCACGAAATTCTTCTAGTCATTGTCTCTACAAATATATTGAGCTAACTTGAAAGACATGACTAACTGTAATGCAAACAATGGTCCTAAATTTTGGCATTTCCTATGGCTGACAAACTCACATCTGGCGTACACACTTTTCCCGCTTTTTTTTGGCTACACGAACTCGGTTGTCCCTAAAATTGGTAGAATAACATAAACACTTTAATCGTTATTGAAATGTAAATAAGTCCACTTAGGTGGATTTCGTCATAATCACCTTAAATTCACATTAATATTGGCGGGGACCCTGAGACAATCCCTTTAAAGAGGAAAATTTAAAGTACCCAAATTGGGCGATGTTACGGCCTACTTTTTAGTAAGAAAAAAGGGTATTTATACGTGGCGCTTGATTTTGTTTCTCGTTGTCGCGGCACGTGGAAGCTTGTCGTTGCTTCAATCATAAACAAAACAGAGTGGCCAATGCCTATCCCACCCAGAAGCTTTAACAACAAGGGTGCAAAAAATTTTGGGCTCATTTTTTGAGGGAAAAGCCATGTGACCTTATGCCCTGGCTACTGTAAACAAATGAATTACCTCCATTTTTCTTTGGTCGGATGAGCTGGTGCAGGACTAAAATACCCAAAGAATGATGATTTGGTTTTTGCCTATCATTAAGGCGACAAAGGTGATAACAAAGTGAATCACCTCCACTTTTCTTTGGTCAGATGAGCTGATGCAATGCTGAAATACGTAGAAAAGATGTAAATTTCTGATAGTTTTGACTTACTATTAAGGCGATAAACTTGGTAAATAAATACGCTACCTCAGAAGAGGAGGAACTCTGAATGCCACAACTGGGAGTTTTTTTCTTGGGAGAACGCTGAAAAGTACAATTAATGCAAGGCAATTTCCGGTCCATTTGGCAGCTGAAAGTGAACACCTCAACACAAACAGGAAAGAAGGCAAACCTCTGCTCCACACTCATCTCGCTGATTGCTGCGGTAGTACGCGCTGGAGCGTCGCTAAAGTATCAATACAACGACAATTTTCGAATAGCTCATTCGATAAAAAGAAATTACAACCAAATTGCTACCTCAAGTCCGGTGTTTTGGAGGCA